GGAGAAGGTGAATTCCTTCTGGAGCAAGCGATGACGTAGGGTCCTCCTTCTGGCCGATTGTCGTGATGTAGTGGGCGCGTGGTGGAGGTGACAAACATTGGAGCTATTGGGGTTCAGCATTCAAGTTGTTGTAGTTTATACTCTCTGTTTATTTCTCATTGATAAGTTGCTAGCGCGCTAATGGCGATGGGTAAATAATGACTACTATATCAATGGAAGTGCGAGCGCAAAATCCACGTGACTTGGAAGTGTTTGCAGATGCATCACACGCCAACCTCAAGAGTACCGCCTGATGTCACCTCCACTGGTCGCATGTCTTGACTAATCGCTTGTGATATGATTACTAGAGGTCACGTAGACTGAGAACGGATGTATATGAGCGCCGTGCGGTCTATTGCCATGATAGCTAGCCGGGGCCTCATCACGTGAGTGTGTGGGAGGCCCCCAGAATTACCACTCCTTCGGCGGGACCATGGGACGTATGTTTCACTCTGCAAAATCGTATAAAGCTACTCGTATACAGCTCTGAGGCTATCCTAGACCTAGGATGTAAGTGAGAACCTCTTTTCGACGAAGATGCAGAAATCTAGCATGCTATGCTACCTACTGAAAGATACAGACTTACTATCCCGACCGATCATCTTAGTATGCCACCGCCCAGGTGGGATGAGTGTGAAAAAATATAAAGTCTTTTCAATACGGAAAGCTGGTTTATGCTTACCTAAATAGAACAGTCCTTAAACATAGCGAATATTAGGCCAATTCAACATCACAGGTATCAACACTTCCTCAACTATCTTACGTGCATTATTTTCATCTGGACCCTTCACAGCTCAAAAAACCTCGACGCATCGTACTACTGTGCTCTAACCATACTGAAACGACCTGCGGAAGATTCATTGTCGAAGTAATACTTAAGGCAGCTGAAGGGTGAGGTATTGAAGTTGGTTGATATTGTTGATCGCTTTCAGGATGTCAATCTTCGCGTTGACATCCTAACACTCTACGGAAGTCTGCCGACTATGTGTAAAGGAAGATGACGGTTAACATCTATCGTGGCATATCCTATGCTTATTATGAAGTGATATATTTATCATCAGAGTAGATTATTAACAGCAATCTTGCGGAAAGGAGTTTTCCTGCCCTCAATTAACGACATGGCCACAACTACCGCGCCTTGGTTGCTTTATGATAATTAGAGCATTGAAATATCAAAATATAGATACGGTGCGATTCTTCATAACAAGATCATAAATCTGCTCAAGCTCAAAAGGTTTGATTGATTGTCTCAAGCTGCGATAAGAAAGTAAAGACTGTAGAGAAACAAAGTATAAGCTGCATCAACTCTAGAAGAGGAAGGAGAGATTGTAAATGTTCATAGCCATGACTGACTGTGCTTGTTGCATAAATCAACTAGCACGAAACGGAATTGAGCTGGACGTAATGCTTGCTGAAGGTCAGTCGGCCTGAAACCGACCAGACAGAATCACCCCACCCGTGACCACACTCATTGCTAATTTTCGCCATATCGTTGGCAAGAGAACCACATTTTACTTTCTTCTCACTCCCAGTCTGAATATTCTGTTAGTAGGATTCTTTTCGATCTATTACGAGTAAAACTTGGCGAAGACTTACTGTACTGCACAGATACACCCCACAGTTGGTAGAGCAGCTTACACGTGAGCACGAATTCTTCTTCGCGCCGCACATACGATTGCCGAGTTTTCTTAGATAGCTCCAACCTTCAAGGCATTGGGTGTCGTAATTTCCAACTTCTTTGCCTTTGCCACAGTTGAACTGGTTCAAAGTCAGCGTGTCCAATCGATAAAGTTGTAGAACAGAGATAACTAGAGAACATAGCTCACCTTTCCTGTTTCCCTAGTCTCTAAGCCGCGTAGAGCGAGAGGCGCCGGAAGCTTCTCATCGAAATTCTCCTTATTGATTCCCTCGGCAGCCATTTCCGCCACATAGTCCGGGAAAAGCCATGGATCGTAGCTGGGATTGAGCTTTAAAATCTGCTCGTAGATGGACTTTGCAGTACCGTGGAGGGTGATTTCCGGCCCACCCACGAAGACTGGTCCTTCCCACTCCATTTCGGACACAGGAAGCAGGTCATCCGGTGTATTGCGGTAAACAAGACCTCCCTCCTGAAGTGGAGTAGCCAAGGTCTAACAGTCGAGTTAGCAAAGACAAAGATAGACACGAAATATTGGAATAGAAGAATCGTAAAGGACTTACAAGAGAGACCCATAGAGCCACAGCTGCGATTGAGAATCTCATCTTGAAAGTGTAAGGCTGAACGAGATGTGTTGATGCAACGAACTCTGGAGTGATAGAATGTGATTGATGGTAGGCGATGATGGACACTGGAGAGTGCTACCTCTCTCTACTTATACTTTTCTTCCCATGTATACTTTCGAAGCCAATAATACCGACATGCTGTTAGTGAGGTCTAGACTCCAAATTCTAGTGGCATGTCACCGCATCAACTCGTATTGAATGATGGATCGTATGATTCAAAGACTTCAATAGATTTGAAGGATTTGTTTGTTTGCTAGACAGCCGTATTCGCGCTTGGCTGCATATGCTACCGTGTCTCTCCTTAACCTCTGAGTGACCAAATGTGCTCGTGTTCTTATCAACATCCATTAAAATCAGTCACAAACTCTTCGCTTCTTTGTGATATTTACTGTGTTAAAACGAATGCTGTCGATTGTGCAATCACTTCATTGGTATGGAAGGTGGCCGTTAATCTTGCTTGTGGTCAGTTCAATAAGGCGAAAAATCGGTGCCGAGATATAAGGCATCCGATACTCGGCTGTTCTACGCGATTGTCTGTGCCCTTGCAGCACAGTGTTCGCCTCGCGGTACGTCTTTCGGTCTTATTCCTCGTGGATATTATCGCCGTGACTGAATACAGACTAGACTTCTATTGAACGCTGCTTATCTAGCAGTGGAGCGCAGAAACACTCATGGATCTTGACTTTTCAGAGCGTCTATAAGTTACGAGATTAGACTAAATGGCGAAGTAAACGACATGAATGGAAGCATTGATAATATAGAAGAGTATCTGCGCCTTTCTGGTACCCGCATCAATGCTACGGGAAAGTGGAGGACATATCGCTATCAGCAATTTTGTCTGTGCGTCGAAGTACTTGTGTAAAGTCATACGGTGGTGGAAACATATTGTGCATTAGCACCTTCTACTTCAAGCTATGCAATGGAATACTAGTGTTTTCTTTTTTTAAGCTTAATCCATCAGTCGGGGCGAAGGTCAGACAGAGCGGACAAGGCGGATAAGGTAAAGTCAAGCTTCGGGATCTCGTTGTCTCACTGAGCCCCAGATCTCTGCGGCTCTTTGCGTAGGGCGTTAGGGAGTCGCTTCGCATCCTTGAAGAGTACTAACGCTTGTGGGGTCGTTCTCCGTGTGGATTGCGCTTCTACGATTGGTCAAATCCTACGGGTCTACCCGCTTTCTAAACATCAGATTTGCCTCATTCAAGGATGCGGACCCACATGCCAACACACTGTAGATTGAGCTGCCCGCCTTAACGCCAAGAGCTATGATTATAGCCATCGTATTTATATCCTCTCGTAAGCACTTAATACAACACACTAGTACTTTGTATTTTGGCCCAAAGCTCGTTTGCAACTTCTCCCGTTGTGGGATACGTATACGGACATGTCTGCGTCTGCTTGTCGCTACGCTGACTTAAGCTAGCGCGAAACGGATTTCTTTAAAACTCGGGCTTGAGTTGAGGCTAGTCTTAGGCGAAGTGTTGGTTTGCGCGACGAGTGCGTTGCATACGTAAGATCTCGAAGATGTAGAGACAGAGGTTTACGGGGAGGCGGGGAACAAAGACTTTGCAAGGGCAACGGCGTCCTCGGAGGCCATTGAAGCGCCTGTTTGTTGCTAGAAGTTAGCCACGGAGCATCTATTGTCATCTCGGTGCGATATGTGAAGGATGAGCGCAAGTACGACAATCACGGTTGACTCACCTTGAGACATGTAGGGCGCCATTGTATGAGGATCATCACCTGGACTAACGATTTTTCTATATGGCGACACGTATTTTAGACCCAGATATTCCAACATTAGTTCATGGACTCATGATATTGGTTACCAACTTGACCAGTCTGGAAAAGGAGTTTATGGGTCATTCTTCCGTGTGCCATGCAAAAGACCGAGTCCTGTTGAAGTTTTTTGCCAATAGTCACAGTCTTCGACGTAAATCCTCATCTGTTCCAGCGTAGGCTACATGTATCAAGTGCTGGCTGGAATTGCTCTAGTCCGCGTGCAATGGAATCACGTTGAAAGCACTACCGTCCGCGGTAGAGTAAGCCAAATGTCCCCGTTTCCACTGATCTAATCGACCGGCATATTAGAATTGCGGGAATTAATAAGACATGAAAGGAACTAAGAGAAGTGTTGGTCACTGCCAATGGTCTAAGATCCGCTAAAAAGGTAAAACGTGGGCGTTTCCAGCAGCCAAGCCATATCAGGGTGGTTCTCTTTTCGTTCACATATCCACAGCCCTGTATGCGGCGATTTTAATCAATAGCCCTTTTCTCCAGATGAATATTCTAGAATGTGAGAATAGCCCATGTGCGTACGTTAGCACAATAATAAATGACCGCACCGGAAAATTCAAGAGGCGAGACTATTAAACCATTAGCAGCAACTACTAGATCTGTCTTTTTGATAGCTCTTCGCCTCTACGACTGTCCTCAACATATTATACTACGCTTTCCGGCATTCTACGTTGATCTTGACCGGCGATCGAATCACTCTCTGATAAAAGGCGTCCTGGAAGCGCGCACGATGCACTACGCAGTACGGCGTGAACTGGGGCAGAAAGGACTCATTGCGTCGCGACGCCGATCATGAAACACAGAGTATGCTTACCCGCACATAGGGTGAAAGCGCGGAAGAGAAGGACAGAGATATTAAGTTGACAACTAGCTTTCGAGTCTATCATTAAAATATAAAGACTACCAAGGGGAGATATCACCTTGTCAGGTGCTTTTCTATTTGATTATAATTGGCCCAGGAATACTATCTTGAGCTAGAACATCTGGAGCAATCAAAATATTGATATAGTGAGGGCATATCTAGACTTTCTAGATCTCTACCTTAAGCAGGCATGTGATGCTCGAACCAGCCTGCTACACGGCAAGAAAAGTCTAGATAGGCGGGGAACTGGCGTATACCGTGACCCTCTCGTGGGTAAACGATCATTGCTGACTCCGCGCCAGCGTCCATGAGGGCACGATGGTGTTCGATGGCCTGAGAAGGTGGGACACAGCGGTCAAGAGCGCCGGCGATGTGAAGTGTGGGCGCATGGTCACGGGAAGCGCGCATGGTCACGGGAAGCGCGCATAACGGGGCTGTTTGTAAGGTAGGGTCCACGGTCATCGTAGGGTGAGGCGTGGAAGAAAAGCTCGTCGAAAATTCCGATATTGGAGGTGGCATGGTTAGACATCCAGTTTGTGACACCAGCGATAGGCACGGCAGCTGCGAAGCGCTGACCGAGTGTGGGGAGCCATGCTGCCATATATCCTCCATAACTTACTCCCATGACACCCACACGGGCTGGATCTGCAACATGGCGCGCTACCATCTCGTCGACGCCCGAGACCAAGTCCTGTGCATCACCGCCACCCATATCGCCAAGTACACGATCGACATAAGCGGCACCGCGGCCAACTGAGCCGCGCGGGTTAGCGCTTAGAACAGCGTAGCCGCGTGCGACAAGTAGCGCTACGATGGGAGATCTCATCTGCCATTGATTCCGAAATGCCCATACTGGTCCTCCATGTACGTTTAGCACAAATGAGTGTGGCTCGCCTCGGCCTGCAGGTTTGCAGAGGAGGCCATCTACTTCGAGTCCATCAGTGCTGCACCAAACGGTAAGCTCAGCACTCCCAACGCGTGACCGGAGCCAGTCTGTCCCAGGATGTGCGAAATCTGCAATAACACGCTCACGCCCATTGAGGACCTCACATAGCGCCGGAGGCTGTTCCCAGCCCTCAGATATCACCGCAAACGCCCCCTCACGAGTGACGGCAATCTCTGGTAGTAGATGGCCGCATGTCAGTGGGCTGTTCCAGTGCTCTTCTACTGTTCCCGACTCCAGACAGTAATGACCCGCAACTGTACGGCCTTTACGCAGCCCGACGAACGACAAAAGAGACTCACGCGTCCAGCATAGGTCGGTGACATCAACATCGTTCACATCGAGCGTACGTGGGGCTGGATCAAAGAGAAGTATATGTCCAGCAATGCCGCCTCGGTCACTGGCCACAGCCTCAATAACTGCAGCAGCGCTTCCGGATGGAGCCGCCACAGGCTTCCCAAGCTGCTTCGACCCAGCGTACAGCGCACGCCATTTTCCGTTACGCAAGTCAAACGCTGCGAGATGCGCATTATACCATGAATCCTCATCAGGCGATGGTGACACCACGGCCAGTAGCTGCTCTTTACCCATCCACGTTACTTGCCATATGTTGGCTTCTTGTTCACCCACACGGTTCGCCTGATGCATTGAAGGGTCAACCACCCACGCACTTCGCCAACCACGAGCAAGTCCTCGTGCATGAATTGACGGCATCCAACTAGATGAATTGCTTGCTATCCTACCCGTAGTGCCCGACCCAAGCGCCCCTGCTGGTCCGCATCCAGCTCGGCCACCTGGACCAACAGATGTGAGCCATCAGGGCTCCACGTGAGTGTTTCCGCCGTTCCAGGTAGAGACACTACAGACTTTGGGCTGCAAGGTAAACACGGGTCCGTGATGTCGACTATGTATACCTGGTAGATGCCAGATTCCGTCGAGTCGCTTAGAAATGCCAAGCGGCGGCCATCAGGAGCCCATTGTGGGCTGCGAGCGTTGTTGGCACCGTGCAGGACAACAGTGAGGGTGCCAGTGGTAGTGTCAGCGATGTAGATGTGCTGGGTAAGGTTCGTATCTAGCGACGAACGCACACTGCCCGTGAAGGCTAGTAAGGGGCGGTTCGTGCAGGCTGCAGGCTCAGCGGCGTCGCTGACGCGGCCAAACGCCGGCCCAAGCAGGTGTTGGAAGTGGTCGACAACAGAGTGGTATAGCGGCGTCTGACAAAGATCTGCGTGGCGCAAGAGGGCCGAGTTGTGATGTGCGCGTAGCCTAAGCAGTAAAGCAGGCCTGAGGAGTGCAGTGGGTCTAAGGGCAGTGGGTCTGAGGAATGCAGCTGGTGTGAAGGTTACAGTTAGCCTGCAGAGTAGAGACATGGAGTAATCGTAATGAGGGGAGATCGAAAAACCGTAAGAGCGTTCGAAGCGGAAGGCGTTGGGATGGGCTAAGTTTTAAAATACTAGCCGCGGGGATATCGGCCCGCTCCCTAACGCAAGGATTTATGTCACGTGGGAGCTAAAGCCACTGTAGAGTCGTATACAAATGAGATGACGGGCTCATCCATACGCAGTCTACCTCTACCAGTCTTTGCATATTAAAGGATACATGATGCAGTCCTGCCATATGTTGTGCGCAATAAGAGAGTCATCCAGCGTAGATCATACAGAGTTGTTTCGCGCCCATTGGAGATCCAAGCGCGAAGACAATTGTGTAACGTCCTGACAGGCACTCGTTGAATTTTTTGGTTGGAAGGCTCAGATAGTTTGCTGGCGTTAACCTAATAGAATACATTTTGTGGATAACGGGTTCGTAATAGTTCCAAGAATTCCGGCCTCTGTTAGGCTTTCATGTCGAACTAGTACTTCTCCCAGTTGTCTTCCTAATTTCGGCCACTCCCATAGGATCTTGCCTTGGTAACAGCGCTCTATACCTGATCTTTAAAGAACGTCCAGATCAATTTCGTTACAAGAGTGAATTGGGATACTTGGTCCATTTGGCCATAGGTATGGAAAATACAGACAACACCTCATACGAGATTTGCCGGGAATTATTAGGCATCTGGCCTGCCTGAATTGCGTCCAGATGTTGATCGCAGCTGGTGACGGTAATCGGATTTTCAAAGGCGCCGCTCGGTGTGAGATGGCGGCATACTCAAGTGTGTTGTCCCTACGTACACAACTGTACTACCACACTAAGTATTCGCTGGTTGCGACGGATTGGAATGCTCCTCCTATTACTTGTGTCCGATATACCCAACTAGACTTCCTTGTCTCTCACCGCGATACTGGCTCCCTTAAATTCGGAAATATTGACGCTAGTCAAGCAGACCACTCAGCGTTTGAGACAGTACATGAAACAGATTGCTAAGTTGATACGGCGAAGGAACTGAACGCAGCATATGTTGCCTATAGCCCTCTTAGTAAAAGATAACTCTTTGACAGCTATGACTACAACTCCCCCGAAGACTTTGCAGCTAGCGATTACCGTCGAACAGGTAATGTTTCAACTATATATCTAGCTTACAATGGTTGCTCATACGTTTTCATAATTCTTAAATTCTAATGCAAGAAATTCCACAAGAACAAAGTTATTGTTGAGAAAAATAAGAAGTTGCAGCTAAGAAGGGTGGCACGACACCTTAATTCGCGCTTTCCTGGGCTGATGCTCTCCATAAATATGAGGTGAAACCCTTTGTGCTCTTATCTCTCCTAGGACTCCCTTGAAAGATCATCAGATTGATGTGCTCCTTGCCGAGCTCAAAGAGCTAGCCCGCAACCACTGGCCAAGAGTTGCTGTTCCTAGATACTGCGTGCAGTGCAATTACATGCCCTTGGATTCCAATGGCTTAGTCGCTCTTGCCTCTTCATGCTACCGTTATTTTTCATACCCTACTATGATACACCACCCAGGCGCCTATGATAATGGGAGTTTTCTTTCTTCCGCAATATCACCTCTTTATATGTACTCCTTCTTCTCTGACTTTGACAGAAGGCTACAGAATTAATCTATGGTAATATGATCAACAGGGAAAAGAACTGCTATGTGCAAACCGGATCTAAGGCTCGTCCTGAACAACCACAATGCGATAGCAAAGGCTGTACCAAGGTTGGTACAGTGGCCTCCTAGATAAGAGACTCGATTCACTCTATTGTTTTCTTAGTTTCGTTTGTACTAAGGTGGAAGCCATGAAACAACCTAGCTGTGGCTAATGCACGGTATGGATACCGCTCGTAAGGCTCACTGATAATGCCATGTACGCCCACACAGACTGCACATTACATTGAAGTCATTGAACATAATTGGTGGGCAACCTTCTAAAGCCGTTGTACATGTTTATGGGGCGCAACAATATAACTCCATTGGGGGGTCTAGGCAGCAACAACAAGATAATTAGAGCACAGGTACGACCGATCTACATACCAATGACATATTATATGACATATTGCGTGACACATTACGTGGCTTGTACTCCACTGCGCATTGTGGTTCTATGCTGAACTCCGACGCTACCACTAGAGCTGAGATATAACTCAAATGGTACTACCCGGCTCTTCCTGCTCGAGAGCACATGGTGATTAGCCTTGCCCCATAATCTCGTATGGACGTCGAAATTAGCCTCTTCTCTAGCGAGGTGGTCGTAATAATACTATATCTAGCCTAGCTTGGTCGATCTAGGTAAGATTATGCCTGGCCTGACCGCCTTATGTGAGATTATACGACCGTGAACGTAAGGGATTTGTCTTCGAAGATCCCCAAGGGAGAAACATCTAGGGCTTAGCCACTCTTTTGACCGCGAGCGTAATTCCGTAGAAATACCATTGATCGACTAGCTTATTGTAAAAACGCTTGCTCTCGTGGAACGCCTGAATAGCATATGAAGTATAAAAAGGCCTGCAACAACGCTGCAAAGATAACAGAAACCACCACAATTTCTGTCTTATAGATTCCTCCAAGCCCAAATTCTACAATCAAGATCAATTCCATCAACCAATCCACCGCCATCTCAAGATCTTAATTACCGAGGCGCCTTCCCATCATGCAATTCTCTGCCATCCTTCTTCTCCTCGCGAGCAGCACATCTGCTTTCGTCGTCACCAACTGCAGAGACAACCTCCGCAACAACTGGTCCAACAACCGTTGCCACGACTACGACGTCGGCACCAGCCTCAAGTATCAAAGCGATAAAGGATGCACCATCACTCTCTTCAATCAAGAAGGATGTCGGGGCGTTGCGTACACGTCTGATTCCCAGGAGAAATGCCTTGGGTTGCCAGGGCATTTGGCAATTAAGAGTGTGAAGTGTCAAGATTAAGTGCTAGGGGTTGCACTCAGAGTCATTGGGGTTGAGTGAGCAATACGTTGTTAAAGGAAATACATCGTATTTATACAAGGCCAGATGGACCTTCGAACACTCTTTTGATTTTCTTTCTGTAGGGGGATCGGATATTGAATTTCGGGGGGGATTGGTCAACAATTGAAAACGCGGACACTCCTTTTTATTCCTCTCTACTTGATCGGCAATACAGATGGCAAATCCCTACCCCTAGCAGGCCGCTAGCGTAGTTTGGAACACCTTTTATCTCCCACATATATAAGTTTATGGAGGAGCAAAGTACGTTAGTTAAGTTAGGTTCCAGCTACCTTTAAAAGGTTAACAACAAATGCAAAACTAGAAAGGTTATATATATAGTTATGCATGAATCTGTTTATAATTTCTGAATTCTTTAAATCCCCCCCCCCCCCCCAAAAATGTAGTTCTCTTGGAGGCATGAGGGTTATTTCTCCAAACTTTAATTAAGGGTTTCAACTTATCCTGGCATTATCCGTTGACTTCATTACCTTCTTGTGATTCCTAGCTACCTTGCTCTGCTTTACCTGACAGTATCTGCTCGGGCAGCATTTCGCCATCATGAAGGCACCTTTTTACCATTTCATTCCCTACGCTTTACTAGCAGCAAGTGTTTCATACGTACTACACCCATCCAGAATTCTAACCGCTTTTTAGCTTAGAGAATCTCTAGAAGATTCTTGCATGAAGACGTCCCTTCTCTCAGACTTTAATTTTGTGTAAAAACCTCCGATAAAATTTGCTAACTAGGTACTCTCGCACCTAGGTCTTCTCCTCAAGGTCTTGAGCACTCGCGCCGAGCTCAAGCAGACGATTTGTAACCTTCTGTTGCCTACTATAAATTGCCAAATCCCCAAAAAACTCCTGCTCTCCATGAAACGGAAGTACGTCATACAACTCATCAACATATTGCCTTACTCGTGGTGAGTCTGGGTCTAACCTGTACACAATTAGCTTGTTATCTATACTAGTATGCTGTGTCTATTCTTACCATAAGGTCTTGCTATCCTCTCGAGAAACTCTATCTACAATCATAATACTAGGTTGCGCAAGATCAGTAACAATTTGCTTTACTAGTACAGCTGGTGCACACGATACAACCGCCGTCCCATCATCTACCTCTAGAAACCCCTCAGGATCACCTATAACAGTAATCCCGTGTTCTCCTAGTACTACCTGGTCAACTGGAGTATACCCTGGATCTTGTGCATAGATCAACCCTTCACTTAGCTGTCCGCTAAGCCCTATGTTGGCTCTCTTTTCCTTCTCCCATAGTATCTCCCGAAGTGTTAATAGCAATGCATGTTAATATGCAGCCCGTATGCTGTGACCATCGCTATATGCCATTGCGCCTAGGTCTATCCCAACCACCTTGTAGTATGGCGTCTGAACAGCAAGAAGTGTTGCCCTTAGCTGTTGGCACGCTGTACTGGCCTCCCAGGTAACCCGTACAGTCCGGAAAAACCTATTCACTTCCTCATACGGCAGGCTATTGCACGAATCTATGGGCTCCTTAGAAAACTTATTCTAACAATCTATGTAGTGATGTATCTGTAGACTATAGTATGCAAGACGAGGGATTTGGTTTTCAATCGTGGACGTAAGCCGCTGAATAGGCACGTACGATATAAAAGGTTCGGTTCTATTACTTTGTTAATTATTTCTCAAGATATGCATAAGGAATACCAACATACACAACCATTTCAAGGTCTAGCTTACCTCCAGGGATAGTAGAACCTCTTAGAAGGGTAAGGCCGCTCTCAACTTCAAACTCAACCTGGTTCTCATCAAGATCTTGCACCGTAACGCGCTGGCCCCTCCTCCTAGCTTGTGGTAGTGAGGCAACGAATTCAAGCTGCTTAGCAACATTGCGTATCATCTCCTTAGTATAGATTGGTGAGCCAGCAGTGTATAGCAA